TCAGGCGCTAACCTTGCCCATGAAGAGGAACAGAGAAAAGGAGGGAGAGAGAGGGATAGAGGGGTTGGTTCATAGGTTGGTTGGATTTAAAAATGGGTTGGGAAATATGACATGGTGGGTTGAGTAACGTGGCGGGTTAAAAAAGGGTGAGTCAGCAAATCTGTTAGTCACTTAAGCAATTCACTGACGGTGTTAACAGAGAGTAACTAAACGTGGACCGTTTTACTAATTTGAGTGACTAACATTGATATTTTTTTTTCCAGTGACTAAACATGACACATTTTAGTAAATCCAATTACCAAACATGGCATTTACCCTTCATAAATTATATTAAAGTTTATCTGATATATGAGTAATAACATATACATTACACCAAAACAACTATTCGATAATATGCCATGATGATGGAAAGAACTGTTCAAGCAGAGAACATTCTGAAAAACTGTATTGAATAGCAAGTGTTACCTTAGGGCCGATAATATGCCATGATGATGGAAAGAAGCACACTGGAAAACCGTCAACCAGGACGCTTGTCCCCCTTTAACCAAAAGTTGTACTCTTAACTTCTGTCGCAGTTACAGGCCTAGTTAAATTTGTCTGCCAAGCTTCATCTAACCTTGTTTTATGTAGATCTCCAATCACTTCAACGCTGACTACATCAACTTCATTGTCTTTTTTCCCTAATAGATTATGATAAAATGACTCTGCATTTGACACATACCTTCAGTATCAGTGATTCGCTCTCCAAGTTCATTCAGTAATGACCTTATCATATTTTGTCTTTTCCTTGTTTTCACTAAGCGATGAAAGTACCTAGAGTTCGAATCACCTTCTTTTAACCACACCTCCCTTGACTTTTGCCTAAGGAAGGATTCTTCTGCCTCTCTAAGTACTTTAACTTCATCATTTAGTGTAGACTCAGTCTAAAAATTTTCAGATGAAGGACTTCGTATAGCCTCAACTTAAGCTAGTAACAGCTCGTGCTCCTTGAGCTTTACTCTTTCTCGAAGATCAGAATGGTCATTTTTATTTAGCTTCTTCAATAACCTCTTCAGAATTTTGAGCTTCTTACTAACCCTAACCACAAGAGAACCTTCAAATTCAATGATCCATGCATCCTTTACCGGATCCCAGTATTTCTCATGCTTCATCCATAATTAGAAGAACTTGTATGGCTTAGGCAATGATTTGATAGCACTATCTGTATTTACCATCACTGGACAATGATCTGACACTGATGGATTCAGAATATCCATAGTACTCGAACTAATCACATCAAGACATTTACAATTGACAAATGCTCTGTCTAGTCTCCGAACAATTGGATTCCCATTTTGTTTATTTATCCATGTGAACCATGGCCCTTAAGCTTTATGCTCATCAACCTCAATATCAAACTGTCGCTGTTTGAATTCTTGCATACTCAAACTGGCTACTGCTGAATTTGAGGCTTCATTTGGATCCCCAATTTCATTGAAATCTCCCATTATGATCCAAGGCTCAGTTTGCACTTGTAATTGCACGAAATGACGATATAATTCCCTTCTCAGTTTCCTCATTTGAAGCGTAGACAACTGTAAGAAAAAAACATATTACTAGACCAGACAAGAGCATGGCTGAGCTGCTCTGAACTATGAAGAATACTAACCTTCACATCTGATCTCCACACAAATATTTTACTCAAAACAGAGGCATTACCTGCTACCCTCTTCTCCCATCAGTGAAATCTGTCTTCTACCAACTTTCCAGCCTCATCAACTTTTACTCTTGGTTCCAATAAAGCTACAATATATATGCTATTCTTATTTACTACTAACTGTACTGCCTTATTTTTATTCGAGGCATTGAAACCCCAGGTATTGCAGGAGAAAAACTTCATCTATGCTTACCACCCCTACCCCCTTTCTTTTCGACAGGAACAACAATAGGATTTCTCTGCTTTTTTTCAGGACTACTCACTGTGATCCATGGTTTTTTTCTGAGTTTCCAAATCAGGAGCAGCAGCTATGGGAGGTTGTCTCCCAGATTCTGGTGAACTAACTCCCAAGACTCGTTGAAGAGGAACTTCCGGACTTCCAGTTGTCACTGACGATCCCTTGACTACCTCGACAAAACTCACAACCTGAGCTTCATTTTATGGGAGAGGGGACCTCAGTAGAAATCACAGTACCAGAATTTAGACATTTCACATCATGTTGTCCTAAAGGAGCAATATCTTCTACAACTACTTTACTAAGCAAGATCTCTTTACCTTTACTTATTTTCAGACCATTAATCTCCGCCTTTGCATTTTCAATTTCTTTCACATGCCTAATCTTAGGAATCCACCTCTTGCCACTGTTCTCAATTCTAGTACAATCATGCCCATAAATCTCACAATCGAGACAAACAAGAGGTATATTAAGGTACTCCACTTAAATTTAAAAGGAGGGATAATCGTCTGGATACAACCTGAATTTCTCTGGTAATGCACAATCAGCAGCCAGATTGACACAAACCTTAGCAAACTCAAAGCTGATTACCCTTCCTAGTCGTCTGGTCCATCCAACTGGGGGGTCCAATTGTACTGGCCACCTGTTCCATCACTTCAAATGAATGGTAATCCAAGCAGACGACAAGTCCTTTCTCTCTTTCATATACGGTTGGTACCTTATTCACGAACGAATGCTTGATCTTTACGGTGTATTTTCCTCGTCGTCACCGGTTCGGACTGCCGACGGCGGGTCCTTTCCCCCTCATTTCCACTTTCACTTCCACCTCCACAAAAAAAAAAAACATATTGTGGTGGCCTGGTGAACGGAGATAAAGGACACAACGTTGGCTCCAGTTGACTTCGGCAATGGCTTGATGAACATAGGTGGTTTAGGATTGCATGCAGCCTCATTGGTGTACTGTGCATAGTGACGGTGGTGGGAGCGCAACTCTGATGTCGGGACTCAGTGTTGGCTCCGGTTGACTTTAGTTGTGGCCTGATGAACAGAGTGGTTTAGCCTTGCATGTAGCGGCACTACTATGCTGAGCACAGCGACGACGGCGAGAGCGCAACACCGATGGCTAGACGATGATGGGGACGATGGAGATGGATAAAAATGTGACTCGTCACGACAGTAGCAGGCAAAGATGAGGGACACACATTTTTGGGGTTTTCTCCATCTTCTTCATCTGATAGAGGGAAGAGAGAATGATAATATATTTTTTTTTTGTTGAAAAGTAAAGGGATAGAGAAGAAACCAACTGCTCAAGTAGCTAATATTTACAAAATGTCTCTCTTGATAAATTAATAAAAATTATTATTAGTGATTTAACTGACTCCATTCCCCATCCTTCCTTTTCTCATGTCTCACACTCTCTTCCTCTCTCTTGCTTTTTTCCTTTCTTCATAAATCTCCACTCTCTCTAACTAACGAAAAATAAGAAATTCACATAGAAAAGGAAAGAGACTATGTACAATATCATTTGACTCATTAATTATTAAAATTCTATATTGATGTGTCTCTAACAAACAATGATTTCGTTGAAGCAGGAAGAGAGGAGGGATACAATGTTGCTTTTTTGGGGGTTTTCTACATCTCCTTTACACTCTCTTCCTCTCTCTTGTTTTTTTCCCTTCTTCATAAATCTCCTTCTCTCTCTCTCTCAACGAAAATAAGAAATTGATAGAGAAAAGGAAAGAAACCAGGTACAAGATGATATGACTCATTAATTAATAAAAATCTATATTGATGTAACTTTAAAAAACAGTGATTTTGTTGCACCAAGCAGAGATGAGGGACCCAATATTGCTTTTTGGGGTTTTTTCATTCTTTTCATCCGATAGAGGGGAGAGAGAATAAGAAAATAAATTTGTTGGCTGAAAAAGAAAGGGATATAGAAGGAGCCAGTCACTCAAATGGCTAATATTTACGAAATGCTTCTCTTGATTAATTAATAAAAATTGTTATTATTGATTTGACTTATTCGATTATTCCCTCTCCATGCTTCCTTCTCTCGCGTCTTGCTCTCTTACTCTCTCTTGCCTTTTCTTCCTTCTTTCATAAATCTCCCCATCTCTCTCAAACTAATGGAAAATAAAAAAATTCACTAAGAAAAGGAAAGAAGATATGCCCAGGATGATTTGACTCATTAATTAATAAAAAAATCTCTATTGATGTGACTCTAATATATATATATATATATAGGGTTCACTCATTAATAATAATAATAATTATAATAATAATAATAATAATAATAATAATAATAATAATAATAATAACTTTGGGTGGTAGTTTACCCTCCAGTAATTCGTAGTCTCCATATACCCAACTATGATTTTGATTTTGCTCTTTCTGTCAATGTCGTGTACTTCAATTGTTCTAGTAGTATCCAATGCAGTCAAAGTCTAGTTTTTATGTAAAAGCGAAATGATGGATAAACACGAAAGCACAAAATCGAAGCGTAAACTTTTAAACATTCTGTAAATTTGATATAAATTTTCTAACCATAATTGTTATTTTTTAAAATATAAACAAAGTGAACTAGCTCATATATTATCTCTCTGACCCATAACTGTTAATTTCCCTCCCTATTCCCAATTTGTAATTACCGCATTTCACACCCTCTAATTTTTTTTCCTTTCCGCATTTGCAATTTTTCTACCAATTCGAGTTTCTCTCCGCATCAACAATTCCCTCATTCATTCTTATTTTCTCCGTTTTAGCTCAAAACCCAACATCTTCTAATCCCCAATTTCAATGGCATCCTGCTCAAATCCTTGTTTCAAAATTTATCGATCATCTCCATTTGCAGTTTTCTCTCCTCTTTCTAATCTCCCCGCTCTATTTATACTTCTATAATCATCCAACTTCTCTTTTATGCTGATTGCAGATGAACCGTGAGTTGTTTCTGCTCCTACTTTGAAACATCTAGGGTTTTGCTTGGATGAACCCAGATTATTAGTTTGTCATGAGATTGCGTTACTAACCTCCTTTTCTCCTCACAATGAGATATTGGTTCAGGTGGTAATGGAGAGTGGTGGTGAAGCGATGGACGATCATTGTCCTAGATGGGTGCCAGTAAAAAAGGTGTTGCATTTACCATTTCCTTTGTTTTAAAATCCAAACCAGAGAAGGTTTGGACTAGATTTTTTATTCTTAAATTAATTTCTCTCAAGTATTGTCTCTTAATAGTTATTACATGATTATATTTTTCGCAAAGTAAAAAACTATCAAATATTTTTCTTAGTAATTTACTTGCTTTATCAAATTAATTTTCACCGCACTTTGTCATTTTGTGTGATTTTAAATATTTTATCACCTTAACTATGCTTGTTTTGAGAAAATATCCTCCTTTGATCTGTGTTGTGTTCATGAAAAAAATTAGGATGATTCCTGAAAGATCTTTGTTGGGGACAGAACATAATTCGTGAATGTCTTGTGAAGCGGCAGTAGACAGTAATTGTTGTCACTTGGTGCTCCTAGTTTCTGCTTAATCTGCACGAATATGGTCAAAGTTCCAAATTTGTAGATTTAGCTTAGTTCCTTTCTTCATTTAGATTCTCTTTATCTTTAATCAATTGCATTAAGGGGTTTGGAAGCTTTTGCTTTTTTAATGATAGAGGGTTGTTCCTAATTGTGAACGTTGATCATGGTGTTAAGTGGTTCCTTGATTATGTTTCTTATAATGATTCTGCATTTAGTTCATGATCGTTGATCATGTGCTTTTGAACCTTTTCCATCTTTTTTCTTGTATTCTCTCTCCTCACTCTCACTTCTTCTCTTTTGCCATTATGATTGTTGTTTATTTCATCTACCAAAGTAGTTCGTCTCCCTTGCTGATGATGAGTTTGCAGAAGTTCTTTACTACTATGATCTTTAGCATTGTACATAGTTGAAAATTTAAAACTATTTCACAGATTTTTTTTTGCCGAGAAGCAATTTGAAAGTTTACCATCCCCCTTCTGACCCTTTCCCTGTGTTTTTCTCCTCCCAGAAGCATAGAAGTGGCTCAAAGTTTTCGGTTCAGAGTTGGGCTGGAGGATTTTCAGGAAAGAATGGCTCTTGTTATCAGCTTCCTATATCTTCTGTGGGTGAAAAATTTTCAAATTTGGCAGGGAAAGATAGATATGAGCTTTCAAAAGGTGCAAAGAATTATGCATATACAGATGACAATGTTATAGCCAATTTTGAGAAACCATCTAATTTGGAAAAAACCAAAGAAAATGGAAGTCCCCCTAAGCTTGTAGAATCACATGTTTTCCAGAACAGTGTTGTGGCCGAGGATAATTTGGAAGTTCAACAAAAGGATGGGACTGAAACCGTTCCCAAGATCAGGTCTGGTGATATTGATGATGGTCACATTTTGGTATTGTATCCTGAAGGTATGCATGAAGGAAATGTAAAATCTTCGGACAAGGAGAATAGCAGCTTGGTGACTTTGAACGACGAATCTGGCAATCGGCTAATTTCACCTAGTTTCTCTTGTACAGATTTCCAAGAAACTAAATCTGGTTTCACAGCTGTAGTCACAAATGTTTGTCCTCGGTCGTTGATCCCATTGGAAAATAAGGAGGTGAAGAATGCGGAAAATAATGGAAAATTGAGTATAATATCTCTATGGGCTTCCAATAATGTTTCAGAATCTAGTGAAAGGCATGGAGAATCATGCGAACCATTAGATAATTGTTTACACATTGAATCTCTATCTTATAAAGAGACTGGTGTTGAGGAGAACTTTCAGGTCCCTGTATTGGTCCATGAGGTGGATGATTCAGGAATTCAAGAGTTACCAGATATCAGCGAAGTGTCATCTTCTCTTAGTTCAAGTGATTGTGTGTCCTTTTATACTGAGAAGAGTGACAATGGAATCTCTGGAGAAGATCGTAATCAGTTTAAGCTTGAACCTTATGAAGAAAATGCATCAGAGCTTTCTACATCTCTTATAGAAAAATTGGAGTCGCCCTTTTTCTTGGAAGGTAACAAGCCAATAATTCCTAACTCATCGTCTATAATAGAAGAAGCAGGCATGCTTACACAACTACAATTTCCTTTGCTTCTTGCTTTCGAGGAAAAGCAGACAGAGGTTAATGTATCCCTCGTTGAAGAATCAGGTGTGGAAGTTGAATGTCACTCTCCTGTTGTCTCTGTAGGAAATGAGCTGGAAAAGGAGCTAGAAGTTTCCGAGTCACAAGTAAAACTACATGAATCAGACATGTTGCCTCTCAAATTTAAAGAAGATGAATCTAGGATTGATGAGTCGCTAATTACAGATGAAAAATTAGGTATTATAGTTGGCCATAAGTTGCCTCTTACCTATGAAAGAAATGAGTCAATATCCACAAATGAGTCAAGAATATCCAAATCACTTTTTTTGGTTGAACAAAATTTAACATCCCTTTCTGAAGTTAATGAGTCCATAACTTCTGTTCCACCAGTAACAGTGGTTGATCCACAATTGCTTCTCATTTCAAAAGGAAATGAGTTGAGAGTTCTCCCGTCACCGGATACCGCTGAAAAATTAAGTGTGCTAGTTGAGCCTCAGCTATCTGAAAACTATGAGTTGAGAGCTGAGTCACCTATTGTAGTTAAAAAAGCAGAAGTTATGGTTGAGTCTCCATTTCCTCTTACCTCCAAAGAAGCAGACTTCATAATTCCTGAATTATCTACTACACTTGAAAAATCAGGAACGGAGATTGAACCTTCATCACCTCTAGTTCATGAAGAAAATGAGTTGAGAGTTTCAAAATCACCTGTTACAATTGGGAAAGTAGATCTTGTTGAATCTCATTTCCCGTTTATCTCTAGCAAAAGTTATTTGAGAGTTGCTGAGTCTCCTATTGCCATTGAAAAGACAGATTTTGTGGCGAAATCTGAAATACCTCTTATCTCTAAAGATAAAGAGTTTAGATTTTCTGAGTCATCTATTACCATTGATAAATGTAGAACTATGGTTGAACCTTCAATGCCTCTAAACTTCAAAGAAAATAGTGTTTCTGAAGTTAATGAGTCAAGAATTTCTGTTCCACAAGTTATGGTGGCTGACCCAGAGTTGCTTCTCATGTATAAAGGAAATGAGCTGAGAGCTCTCCAATTGCCAAGTACTATTGAAAAATTAGGCGTGGTAGTTGAGCCTCAAGTGCCCCAAGAATATGAGTCAAGAGATGAGTCACCTGTTGTTAAAATATCTAAAAATATGGTTGAGTCTCCATTGCATCATACCTCCAAAGAAGCAAACTTCAGAGTTACTGAATTGACTGCTAACCTTGAAAAATCAAGAAAAGAGATTGAACCTTCATCACCTCTAGTCCATGAAGAAATCGAGTCGAGAGTTCCTGAACCACTTGTTACAATTGAGAAAGCAAATTTGGCTGTTGAATCTCAGGTTCTTTTTGTCTCCGGAGAAAACGATTTGAGAGTTGTTGGGTCCCCTGTTGGCATTGGACAAGTAGATATTGTGGCTGAATCGGAACTACCTCTTATTTCCAAAGAAAAAGAGTTCAAAGTTTCTGAGTCACTTGTTACAATTGAGAGATTGGGAACTATGGTTGAACCTTCTTTTCTTCCAAGCTTAAAAGAAGACGAGTCACGAGTTACTGAAGTTAATGAGCCTAAAAATTCTGTTTCACCAGTTACGGTGGTTGATCCACAATATCTTCTCATGTCTCAAGGAAATGAGTTGAGCGTTCTCCAATTTCAAGGTATTGTTGAAAAATTAGACGTGGTAGTTAAGCCTCAGGTGCCCCAAGAATATGAGTCGAGAGTCGAGTCACGTGTTGTTCAAAAATCAGAAAATATGGTTGAGTCTCTGTTGCCTCTTACCTCCAAAGAAGTAGACTATAGAGTTACTGAAGTGTCTGATACACTAGAAAACTCAAGAACAGAGATTGAAACTTCATCACCTCTAGTTCCTGAAGAAACTGAGTTGAGAGTTCCTGAATCACCTATTACAATTGAGAAAGCAAATTTTGCTGTTGAATCTCAGTTCCCTTTTGTCTCTAGAGAAAATGATTTGAGAGTTGCTGAGTCTCCTGTTGACATTGGAAAGGGTGATATTGTGGCTGAATTTGAACTACCTCTTACCTCTGAAGAAAAAGAGTTCATAGTTTCTGAGCCTCCTGTCATTATAGAGAGATCGGGAACTATGGTTGAACTTTCTTTGCCTGTAAGCTTCAAAGAAAACGAGTCAAGTGTTTACGAAGTTAATGGTTCCAGAAATTATGTTTCACCATTTACGGCGGTTGATGCACAATATCTTATCATGCATAAAGGAAATGAGTTGAGAGATCTGCGGTTTCCAGGTAGTGTTGAAAAATTAGGCATGGTAGTTGAGCCTCAGGTGCCTAGAGAACATGAGTTGAAAGCTGAGTCACTTGTTGCAGTTAAGAAAGAACAAATTATGGTTGAGCCTACATTGTCTCTTACCGCTGAAGAAGCAGATTTCAAATTTTCTGAATTGTCTGCTACACTTGAAAAGTTGGGAATAGATATTGAACCTCCATCACCTCTAGTCCTCGAAGCAGTTGAGTCGAGAGTTCGTGAATCGCCTGTTACAATGGAGAATACAAATATGGTTGTTAAATCTCATTTTCCTTCCGTATCCAGAGGAAATGATTTGAGAGTTTTTGAGTCCCCAGTTCCCATTGGAAAGGCTGATATTATGACGGAATCCAAGTTACATCTTATCTCCCAAGAAAAAGAGTTCAGAGTTTACGAGTCACCTGTTAAAGTTGAGAAATTAGGAACTGTGGTTGAATCTTCTTTGTCTGTAAGCCTCAAAGAAAACAAGTCAATAGTTTCTGAAGTTAATGAGTCCAGAATTTATGTCTCACCAGGAATGATGGTCGACTCACATTCTCTTCTCATGTCTAAAGGAAATGAATCAAGAGTTCTCCAGTCGTCATGTACTGTTGAAAAATTAGACGTGGTAATTGATCCTTATGTTCCCGAAGAATATGAGTTGAGAGCTAAGCCACTTACCGAAATTAAAAAAGCAGAAATTATGGTTGAGACTCCATTGTCTCTTACATCCAAAGAAGGAGACTTTAGAGTTGTTGAATTGTCTGCTACAATTGAAAAGTCAAGAACAGAGATTGAACCGCCATCACCACTAGTCCCCAAAGAAAATGAGTCGAGATTTCTTGAATCACCTTTTACAGTTGAGAAAGCAAATCTGGATTTTGATTCTCATAATTCGTTAGTCTCCAAAGAAAACGATTTGAGAATTGTTGAGTCCCCGGTTTCCATTAGAAAGGAAAATATTATTGATGCATCTGAGTTACCTCTCATCTCTGAAGAAAAAGAGTTCAGAGTTTCTAAGCCACCTGTTACAATTTTGAAATCAGAAACTATGGTTGAACCTTCATTTCCTCTAAGCTTGGAAGAAAATGAGTCAAGAGTTTTTAATGAACCTATAACAACCGAGAGAGCAGACATGATGGTTAAATCTGGGTCGCCTCTTCCGTCCAATGAAAATGTTTTAGAAGATCCCATGTCATCAGTTACAACTGAAAAATCAGACCTTATGGTTGAACCTCAGTTGCCTATTTTCTCCAAGGAAAACTGTTCAAGAGCTTCAGATTTTCCGTTTAGAGTTGAGAAATTGGACACACTAGTTGGATCTCAGTTGCCTCTTATCTCTGAAGAGCAAAAATCTAGAGCTTCTGAGTCTCCGGTTATAATTCATAAATCATACATTGTGATTGAATCTCAGTTGCCTCACACCTCCAAAGAAAATGAGTTGAAATTTTACAAATCTCCTATTACAATGGAAAAACTAGATATGTTTGCTGAATCTCACGTACCTTTGATCTCCAAAGACAATAATTCAAGAGCTCTGGAGCCACTACGTACGGTTGAATTATCAGACATTGTTTCAGGATCTCAGTTTCCACTTATGTGTGAGGAAAATAAGTTGAGTGTTTCAAAGTCACAGGTTTCGTTTGCTAAATCCGACGTATTGTTTGAATCTCATATTCCTCCAATCTCTAAAAAGAATGAGTTTAGAACGCTTAAGAGACCTGATATAATTGAGAAATCAGACATGGTGGTTGGATCTCAGTTGTCTTTAGTTTCCATAGAAAATGAGTCCAGAGTTTCCAAATCACATGTTACAGTTGAAAAATTAAATACAGAAACTGAATCTCAGTTGCCTTGGATCTCCAAAGAAAAAGAGTCAAGAATGTTGGATTCAGAATTTTCAATTGACAAATCTGACAGAGTGGCTGAAACAGAGTTATCGTTTACTTCCAAAGAAAATGCATCTAGAGCTTCCGACTTGCAAATTATTGTTACAAATCAAGAAGGCAAATCAAGAGTTCCTGAGGCACAAAATTCAAGCATGGTTGCCAAAGTCCAGACTAGCTTGTCTCTAACCTCCAAGGGAAATGAATCAAGAGGTGTCGTGATGCCATTTGGAAAACCAGATGTGGTTGTTGAGCCTCAAGTGCCCAATATTTGCAAAGAAAATGAGTCAGTAGTTTCCGATTTCCCATCTAGAAGTGAAAGATCAGGCACCATGGTTGAGCCTCGGTCACATTGTTTGCCTCTTACCTATGAAGGAAATGAGTCCATATATCATGACCCACTGCTTAGAGTTGGAACATCAAGCACATTGGCAACTCAAACGGAAACTGCATCATCTATACCCCAAAGGTGTGTGTCTGAAGTGTCTAGAGAGTACAATACAGTAGTGAAACTTAACTTTCCTTGTACTTTAGAAGAAAATGGGTTAAGGGAATCTCAAGTTTCCATTATAAATAAGTTTCCAAGTTCAGAAGTTCTTTCAAAAGACAGTAATTTGCTAACTTCAGAAAAAATTGGGCATGCAATTCCTTTAGTTTTATCTCAGAAAACTTCCGTTGGTAACATGGAGAGTTCAATTTATACATCGGTATGTGATGACTTGCAAAAAATCCACAATCAGAGTGATAAATCGGAAGGTGATGCAGGTGAAAGCAAAGAAAGATTTGGGGATAGACTTTGGGGTTTTCTGTTTGAGAATCTTAACAAGTCCGTAGATGAACTTTATCTTCTTTGTGGGCTAGAGTGTGACATAGATCAGATGAAAGAGGCTGTCCTTGTTCTTGAAGAGGCTGCATATGATTTTAATGAATTAACTGCATGGGTTCAGGAGTTTGACAAAGTGAAAAGGTCTTCTCAATCAGTAGATAATGCAATGAGTGATTTAAGATTTGATCACCGTAGGCCTCATGCTCTCTCATGGGAGGTATGTAATTTAATCATTCTAACGTGAATGTAGAGTTTTTTATTTCTACATATTCGATTTGTAAATAAATCACTTAGAACTTTTCCTTTCACTTACAAGGTTACCACCGATGGTTAGTTCGGTAATGAGAACTTCCAAAGGATTAACCTCCTTTTGCTTCATATAACTATTAGATTTATTTTTTTGTTTGTCAGCCAATCAGCTGCTTTTATTTCATTTTTGACTCCTACAAAATCATGTATCATTATATAATTTTGTATTCGCACATGATGCACATGTGATTTCATATTCCTTAACGTATTTTCCCCCTTTTGTCTGGAGGAAATCCCCCTTTGAAATTAATGGAATCTTCTTCTATATGAAGTTCCCTTATTTCCAGACCACACATAAGAGTGAGCATACATCATCTCATGTCCTCTGTCAACATTTCCATTGCATAATGTGGTAGACACCATGTTGATAAATTGGATGCTTTCTCCTTATGCATCTATAGTATATGTGACCCATTTAGTTGCATTGTGGTGTCAACTTCATGGTTTTATTCATGTGAAACTAGCATAACTTTGCTTGGTAGCTTCATGGATTTTTTTCCCGTTTCTTTCTTTGTTTCATTCAGATTTTTTACGAGTTTGCGACCACATAATGCATAACCAACTTTAGTTTTTTTTTTATGAGTTTGCCATCTTATATTTATGAATCTTTTATGTGATTTTGTGATTAGTGTAGGTCAGGAGAATGGCAACTTCCTCTCACAGAGTTGATATACTACCTTCATCACTAGAGGCATTTAAAAAAATTCACCAAGAGAGAGCTGATATACTTACAGCCAATACTTCAAAGAACCCGACGCTTGGAGGCTCTAGTCATCATCATGTTGCAGCGGCTGAGCGACAAAAACCAGTGGTGGATAGTTTAAAGGAATCCCATGTTGGTGATTCCGTAATAAGAGTAGAACAAGAAAGTAGATGCTTGGATGTTAAGAAGCAGAATAGTGATGACCAATTGAATGTGGAGCCAGCAAGTTGCAACAAAGTCAATTTCATACAGAATGGTTATGACCATTTGAAATCCTTTTCTGGTCTTGACTCACATCATGTAATGCACAAGCTGGACATTTCCGCCACTCTAGAGGCAAGAAAGACCAAAAGAGTTCATAAGGTGGAGAAGGTAGAAGCTAATGATCACCCAAAGAACCACACACATTCTTCTGAAAATGATAAAGACAGGAGGAACTCTATGACATTTAAGTCCATGGATGCTTGGAAAGAAAAGAGAAGATGGGCAGAAAGAATTCCATCTCCAGGTACAAACAGCAGGAAAAGTGTTGAGAGAGCACGGGTTTTACCCGATAGACTGATCTCACCAGAAAAGAAGAAGAGAACCGCCATTGACTGGAAGAAAGAAGCAGAAGAGAAGCATGCAAGGGCCAGGAGGATAAGAAATGAGTTGGAGAATGAACGTGTTCAGAAGCTACAACGCTCATTGGAGAAGCTCAATCGTGTGAATGAATGGCAGGCCGCACGTAGCATAAAGCTGCAAGAGGAAATGCATGCTCGCCGCCAAACTGGTGAATCTAGGCATGAAGCTTATCTAGCACAAGTTGCAAGGAGAGCTGGTGACGAAAGTAGTAAAGTCAATGAAGTTCGGTTTATCACATCTCTAAATGAAGAGAAAAAGAAGATCAAGTTGCGTCAAAAGCTTCATGATTCGGAGGTGAGGAGAGCTGAGAAGGTTCAGGTAAGGAAATCTAAACAAAAAGAGGGCATGGCTCGAGAGGAAGCTGTTTTAGAACGGAGAAAGCTTATTGAAGCTGAGAAAGTACAGCGTCTCGCTGACACGCAAAGGAGAAAGGAAGAAGCTCGGGTTAGAAGGGAAGAGGAGCGAAAAGCGTTGAGTGCAGTACGTGAAGCGAGAATAATGGAGCAACTCAGAAAGCGAGAAGAAAGAGTAAAAGCACAACAAGAGGAAACTGAAATGTTGGCGCGGAAATTAGCTGAGAGATTGAGAGAAAGTGAGCAGCGTCGTAAGTTTCACCTAGACCAAATACGGGAGAGGGCTTCAATGGATTTCAGGGATCAATCTTCACAGTTGCCGAGACGACCTGTGAGTAGAGATGGCCAAGAAAGGAGTAGCTCATCAACAAATAGTGGTGAAGATTTTGAAGAGCGTGATCCCACTTTAGGCCCACGTGGTCATGCTCTTGATCCTGGAATGCAACAAGATTTGCTCAAGAGACAGATTAAGAAGATCCGTCAAAGGCTAATGGCTCAGAAGTATGAGTTTATTGAGCCGCCGATTGGTTGTGAAAATTCTAGTTTTGGATATAGGACAGCACTAGGAACTGCAAGGGCAAAACTTGGGCGGTGGATTCAAGAACTTCAAAGACTCCGTCAAGCAAGAAAAGAAGGGGCCTCAAGTATAGGTCTAACTATTGCTGATATGATCAAGGTAATTCTTCTTTACACTTTCTGCGAACATTGCAATAACCCGACTGCATAATCTAGTACTTACCTATTGCAAACAATTGGTCAACAAATACCAACACTAGCTAAATCTGACCATCAAGCATTTGGTTTGCTCAGTTACATCTTTCTGACATGACATACTGATTCTTTCTAGTCCCTTTAAAAATCCTGTTAATGGTCGACACTTCTCATGATGTATGGTTTGCTTATTGTGTAACAAGTGTCGCGGTCTTGTGAGATGAATGGTTGTGATTTTTATATAATTCTTACTTTATTGCTTTTTCTGGATCAGTTTATTGAAGGTCGGGACCCTGAGCTGCAGGCTTCTCGACAAGCTGGTCTGCTTGATTTTATTGCTTCAGCTCTCCCTGCATCTCATACTTCAAAACCTGAAGCTTGTCGAGTCACAGTGCACCTCTTAAAACTTTTGAGGGTAGTATTGTCCATGCCTACAAATAGGAGCTATTTTCTTGCTCAAAATCTTTTGCCTCCAATTGTCCCCATGCTATTTGCAGCACTTGAGAACTACATAAAAATTGTTGCATCATCAAATGTCCACGGTTGTGCTATTATATCATCAAACAAAGCATCAGTTGAAAACAAAGGACCAGTCTCTGAAGTACTTGACAATTTTTTATGGATTGTTGGAGCAATCATTAGTCATAATGCTGGGTCTGATGAACGAGAAATTCAAATGCAAGATGGATTAGTTGAGTTATTAATTGCATACCAAATTATTCATAGACTTCGTGATCTCTTTGCACTCTACGACAACCCTCATGTTGAAGGATTGCCATTTCCTTCTTCGATTCTTTTAGGTGTTCATCTATTGGTTGTTTTAACAGACAGAGCACGTAGAAGCAATTCAATTAATTGGGAATCTTCTCCTATTGGGATGATGCTAGATATTGGGAATCAACAAAAAAATTTTGAAATGACTTCTAACTTCAGGAATAATTCCTCAAATGAGATCTCAGGATGTGACAACACTCCACTATCCAGACTACAAGCAACTATAGTTGTACCTCCAGATCCACCAGTGCAAAGATCATCTGATGTTGTTAAGAATGATGATCCTGAATCAGTTTCTAAATATGGCGCAACGAGCCAAACTCACAGTTTATTTGACTTGAATGGTGTCACTGTGAAGCTAACAAACATTACACGTGAAACTCATATTAACCAGGAAATGGTTGTGAAACAATTGGACATCATTGATGAAGAACAGAAGAATAACAACTTAGTTAGCATGAATCAGGCTACAACTGATCTTCTTTCTGCAATATCCGAAACTGGGCTAGTCAGTCTTCCTTCTTTGTTTACATCTGTTTTGTTACAGACTAGCAATCGACCATTCTCTGAACAGGTAACTTCTCAGCATCATTTCTATTTCTCATTTTGAGGAAATTGTGTGCCTAATCAATGATTTTAATACTGCCACTAGTCTAAGATTTCAAGTGAAATGAAACATCTATGTGACCATATGGCTATGAAAGGTGGTGGAAGTGGTCATGCTTATGCCAAAGTAGCAAACCACCTTTTCCTTTTCCCATTCTTATCCTGTCGAAAATAGATGATATGTTGAAAAGTTCTTACTAAAATGAACAACTTAAAGATCGTTTTGCTTGAGTCATTTGATACCAAATGACTCGTTTGCTAACAAAAAATGCATGAGTCTTTTAACTTATATGGAAGTTCCAAATTATTTCATCAGTCATTTCCAAATGGCTCCTCTCCATGAGTCATTTCCAAAAAAAAAAAAAATTTTGTCCTTGCCTCTTTTTCGTAAATCCGCTTCTATAATTCCCCTTTTTTATGATTTGTTTCCCCTGTCATTGTTTTGTCTCTCTCCGAAATCCTCCCTCCCAAATTTCATATGCCACAAAGGGGGTCCTCTATTTCACCGTTTTCACCAAGCTCTCTTCATTCTAGCTCCCCGTGTCACCTAAACTGCCGCCTTCAAGAATGAGTCGCAACTCTCCACGTGCATCAAATCTATCTCACCGATCATCTACTTAGTGGCACATCTTTTCCATTAACAAAGCTCATCATTTGCAGGCATTTACCATGATTCTTTGTAATTAGCCTGAATTTGGAACTTCTCGAGCAGTTACCTTCTATAAAGAACATTAACATAAAATATTAATTTAAATTATAAAATAGTATTATACATGGCTTGTATCCGAATAATATGTTTTATTGATTGAAAAATAATTTTGTTTACTTGGTTGCTTTTGTTAGAATAGGAACTACCATAATAAAACATATAGATGTAAGGACAAAATGATATTGTACAAATTATACACAAAAGAAATATTGTACAAAATTTAACAAACTACACATATATAAATGTCTGCGTTCCCAAATTTCTTACATTTGAGCAAATGACTCATCCAAATTATCCCTTCGATGAGTTGTACAACTTTACTTGTGCTAATTGTCGTATAAATAATTTATTTTCAGCTAGGTAGTTTCCGTTGAACATCAAGTTTGATACATGTCTCTGTTATCCTTTGTCCCTTGAAGGGCTCCTATGTCCTTCCATCTAATTTTGAAGAGGTGGCAACTGGTGTGCTCAAGGTTCTAAATAATTTGGCTCTTGTGGATATTTCTTTCATACAGAGAATGCTAGTGAGTATTTGCTTCTTAATTATGGATTTTCCTATTAGCAATCATTAAGTTTCGTAGAATTAATTTATCAGTATATATGCCATGTGACGTTTCACAGGCAATGCCCGACCTGAAAATGGAATTTTTCCATTTGATGAGCTTCCTTCTATCTCATTGTACCAGCAAATGGAGAGGAGCTACAGACCAGGTATATTTAGTTAATTATACTCGTAGCATCCTGGTTGGCATTCTTCTTTGAGAAAATTATGTTAGGGGGCTGATCTATCTGCTTGTTGCAGATCGGTTTGCTGCTTCTGGAATCTTTATTGCTTATAGGTTATTTTGCCTTGTTTCATCCGGAAAATCAAGCCGTCCTTCGCTGGGGTAAAAGTCCAACTATACTTCATAAGGTGACTGAAATAAAATCATTATCCATGCGTTTGTTGGTGGAAAAAAATCCTAATAATAACTCAAGAATCTTGAATACGAGACAGGTATGTGATCTGCCATTTGCATTCTTCAGTGACCCTGAGTTGATGCCGGTTTTAGCTGGTACACTGGTTGCTGCCTGCTATGGGTGTGAGCAGAACAAGAGCTTGGTGCAACAAGAAATGTGTGTCGATATGCTACTTTCCTTGATCAGGTCGTGCAGCGGCAAACCCAATGCAACGACTGACAACCACCCACCGGCCGAGGATTGTAGCGAAAGTAGTAATCATGAGTTCAAAAGTTCACCAGGGGGGTATGATAACCCACTAAAATGTAGTCATAACCATGTTGTTAGACCGAGACCGAGCAGGTATTCTCTAGGGGGGAGAAGTAGTGTTGTTTCTGCAAGCAGCATTAGGACCGGGAAGCTGAGGAGAGCAGGAAAGACCGGTGAAGAAATGGGGTTGAAGCCGCAAAGTTTAGGAGCTCCTCCTGAAGCCTCCACAATGTTGCATTGCAGATTCTCGACTGGCTTCATTAATAAGGCAGAGGACTTCTTTACTTCAGTGGATGAAAATGTTTGATGTTTAACAAGGCAAAAAAGCATAATATACGTAATATGTTGCTTCGACAGATGCATATGGTTAACTGCACAATCAACAACTACTTTTCCTTTACTAAACAAAAGTAGACGGGGAAGCTTGAGATGGCAAAGCATGGGAGCATATGCGGTTGAGAAAATAAGCTAGTCTTCCCTTTCAGAGCCTCAATGGAATATGAAGGATTCTCTGCCCTTGGACTGAGTGAACATGCATCTATGTTATAGAGCTACTGCGGTGTTGTTGTGTCATGACAGCAAAGCAAAGAGCTGCAATTTTGTAGAGCAATTTACCAAGGTTGATATAATAGGAAGCTGAGATATCCAAGAGCAAGTACATTGTAACACGACTTTTCAATAAGTGGAAAATGGAAATGGGTTTATTCAAATTTGAATCGTTGAAGTATTATGTTGTCTAGCTAAAATATGGAGATTCTTCATAAGAATATAGTTAGTTAAAAAATTCAAGACTTTTGAGAGATTGTAGGAATGAGTATTGGCTCTTTTAAATTAGACACTAGATAAAATGGCCCGCGCTCAGCTAAGGGTAAAAATAAATTTTTCGATCTATATATAATTTAATTACAAGAAACCAAAATGAAATGATAAGTGGATAACTTCGTAGAATCTAGTTGTTCCAATTTCTTTCTTTAAAAGCCATTATAATGCACCCTAAAAACCCAATAAATCATCATAGAAAATTCAATCAACAAATTTGAAGATAACCTTATTTCCCCGTCTCAAATCTCAAAAAGTATATAGAAATCGAAACAAATTACATTATACTTAAAAACATTAAACTGAATTCCAATGGAAAATAGGATCTTTCACAAACTATACCGAGGTAGTGAAGTTGCTGGATCTTGACACAAATTTTTGAAGACAGTGAAGTTGCTGGATCTTGACACATTCAGACAATTCTAAGTTTTGATAAATAAAGATGATGATCCATCAACGATCATGTGAATAAAAGTTGTTGCATTCATATTTTATAAACATGCATTACCTATAAAGGGTCACTAAATGATAGTAAACTATCCATCCTATGGCATGTAAAGCAAACAATGAAAACATAATTAAGCGACTAAGTTACGCTAATTGGACACATTTAACTTATCTTATAGCAAAACACGAAAGAGTATCATCCTAAACTGCTTTCATCCCTCTTTACAATACCACTTCAAAAAACTTTCAATCAGTTGAACATAATCAACCTCATTTCCAAGTTATAAAACAGGGTCCTACACCTTCTAACTAAAGCTTGCTGTCCTAATATATATATCTATAAGCATTTGGATGGCACTGGCTTTTATCAATTTAAGGATAACCTCTCTTGTATAAGTAAATCATTAACATGAGTGATGCATCATAAGCGAGAAAATGCATCGGCTAATTTCAACCATTAATTCCTTCAGCAATGACAAAGTAACAATGGACGTCCATTGACAAACTTCAAGTAGAATATGTGCCATGAATTTTTGGTAGTCATGATAGTCATGGTTCATAAAAAGAAGAATGTCCCGCAGTCGTGAAAACATGTATGCCAATTACAGTATACAAATATACCATCAATTCATAAAATTGAACAAATATATTAATAGAAAGCTACCTGTGCAAATAATACAACACCACCAAACAACTGGTTGATCAATATTGTACTTATTGTTACCTAGCTGAGTGAAATCGTCATTGTCAAGTTGGTGATCAACCATGATAGCTTGAGTAAGAAAAATAACCAATGGTGAGTACACCAATAGGATTGCAGCAGAAAATTGCTACATTGTCACACTTCTGGCACATACTTTAAAAAATTAAGAAGATTCTACATATCATTGGAAGATCTATGCTAACAATTTCAACTAAAAAGCTGCAAACATTCAATCATAGAGAGAAAAGGAAAAGTGTTGAGAAAAAAGAACAAAAAATGAATTGGTGGGATTGGAGGAGCAGAAGCAACAGGTTTACAATTCCCATATGCTCGAGTAATAGATCAGTTTCCTCTAAAGAAACCTACAAATACGAAAAATGCAAAAGTAACAACTACAAAGAACCTCAAAGTTTTCACAACCCTACTTCTAAAACCCCACATTTCTATGTTAAATTCATTGAACATAAAGGGAGCTTCGATATAGCGGGAATACATGGGAGATGCTAGGCCTGCCAACAGAGCTACATAGGCAGGAGAACGTGTCCCTTCTTCCATCAACAGGCTCTTCCATGGTGTGCTTTATGGCTTCCTTTGCGGTCTCCACCAACGACCTAAAACAACCACCACGATCACAATCGGTAACCATTATGAGTTGAATCGAGATACAATGAGGGGAGTAAAGGGAGGTGTGGCAACATACACCCTGAATTAGGTTAAAAATCCTAGTTAGGGTATGTGAAGGGAGACGGTAAAAGAACCAAAGAGGGAAGGGTTATAAACAGAGCATTTGATTAAAGGGTCGAAATCAAAAGGGAAGTACATCTGATATGAATCTCCCATGGCGGCTTCATGAGGTGCCGAAGCAAACTGGTCCATCAAGCAGTTTCCCTTTCCATATTAATCTTCCCTGTGAGCCATTTGCCCTGCTTCTTGTTTCAATCCCATGGAGGCTTCAATTTTGCGGAGTTGAGGAAGCAAACTGGTCCGGTCCGACTCTCCCATGGCAGCTTCGATTTCATGCAGTCCCATGGAGAAGAAAGAATCAGTCTCACCCATGGCGGCTTCAATTTCACGGAGTTGAGGAATCAAACTGGCCTCACTCTCCCATGACGGCTTCGTGGAAGGTATATCGACGGTTGAGGAAGCAAACTGGTCGGGGAAGGTATATCGACGGTGGATCACGCTTCTCTCACTCCCAACTGTTTTCCCTTACAGATTCATCTTCAAAGGGAGAGTTCAACACGAGAGAGGAGAGAGGTTGCAGGGTGATTTGATTTGATGTAGAAGAATAGAGAGAAGAGGCACGATAATTTATGGGTTAAGATTTCAACGGCTGAGATTAGCTTGATCAATGGCTGTGCTTAACCAGCCTAAAGGGCTATTACATGGGTTTACAGTGGAACCACTCAATTCTGAGTCATAGTCCTTCGTGAACAGTATCCGCGAAAAAAATACTAGATAAAAAATTACCATACTTTACGTCTTTACCACTATAGTATGTGGGTGGTAACTTGTAGTAAACAATGATGAAAGTCGTACATGACAGTTAGTATACTCCTACTATCATGTATTCAACCTTCTTACCATATTGGTATGTTCATACCATCATTGTACCCTTTCTTACCATATGGTATTAAATAGGAGCATACCATATAGTAATGAATGGTAAAAAATTATTCATTTTTTTTTGTACTAAAAATATATGAAAGTGGATATCATTTTAAAGAGAACATTTAATCCGATTTATATGGGCAAAAAATTAAATTTTGACTTAAAACGAGAGAGAAATCGTGCGTTAAAGATTAAAGGGGAATAGAAAAAAGACTTTCCAGGAGAAAGAGGATACTGATGTCATGCTGATGTGGACAGGTTACTCATGGATAGGGTGCATAACCATGGGTTATGCACTCATCAATAACTAAATATGGACCCTTCATTTAGAAAATCTAGATCTAAGGATGGAGAATTAAAGGGAATTTTTATTTTCGCTAACTTTCTTAATCGACTCGTATCTTCATTGTTTTAACTCGGATTTTAATTTATTTTGCACAGATGGACCGAGTTCGTTGTGCTCTACAAAATGGGATACATTTTCAATATTTTGTGAGAAAAAAAATTCTTGCCTATCGGTACCAACTGCATACCATATGGTATCTTCTTCATTTTTAATTCTTTTTTGAAAACGTTTGCATAGAATGAACGAGTTTATCATGATCTATTTGATCTACAAATTTCTGGGTGAACAAATTACATGACCAAAAAATACCACACAATACCATACAATACCACCCTGGTACGAGGTGGTATCTTGTGGTACACAATGTTAAAAGACATAAATGATAGTTAATATACTTCTACTATTATGTATTCAACCATCCTACAGTCTTGGTTTGTTCATACCACCATGGTACTCTTTTCAAACCATAGGTATGCTCTTATTTCAATACCAGTCAATACCATATGGTATAGACTAGTAAAAAATGACTCAATTTTTTTTTGTTCGAAAAATATATCAAAGTGGATATCATTTTGAAGAACACAATTATTCTGATCTAACTGTGCAAAAAAAAATTCACTTAAAACGAGTGAGAAATCGTATGTCAAAGATTAAGGAGAGGAACATTAAAGACTTTCCAAGAGAGGGAGGGATGCTGATGTCATGCTGATTTGAACGGGTTACTCATGATTACTCACTATAAGGTTACTGACCTGATCCGTTCCCGAAAACATGAGCTCTTTGGAGTTCTAAGTTCTTTATAGGTAAGGAGCCTTGAAAATAATGTCTCGCAACTTTTTTTGAAGTAATTTTTCTAAGAATTGCATTACAATTTCATATTTCAAAGATTTTTAAATAATGAATTATTCAATATATATGAGACGTACACAATGACACTAGTATTGTGACCGGCCGTTCGTCGGTTGGTGGTCTTTCGGTCGATTCGATAGAAAGTTTATTTTCTTGGGTATATATAATTTATTTGTCAAATCTTTTAACATTTTTAAATTATTAGCCAAATGCTACCGTAAAAGTTCATCTTCAGAAAAATAGTAATTCATATGTACTTTGAGACCCGATAATCATTTTGCTTACCCAATTGCTCAACAAATAATACGGGGAATTCCTACGATATTTAGAAAAAAGATTAGTGTATATTTCATTACTTAAAATAAAATAGGCAATCACGTTATCAGTGAAATAGCTAAAAATTCATCTAAAGTAGGTCAAATGTGAGAGGAACAAATGTAGCGTAAGTTTTAGGATATGTTCATGTTCTTAAAATTTATTCATCATGCAAATTATAAGGGATGTTAAGTTACCACAACGAAAAATCGTTCACAATTCCACAACTCATCTTATTTCTAAAGTGTTTCTTTACTTTGCTTATTGCAGTTAGTACTCTTTCATTGCAAACGATAGCAACAAACACCCTTAAGTTTTGATTTTTTGTTTATATTAAACTCACTTACATAATATGTGAAATTTGAATTTAAATAGAGATTACAAAATATTAAGGAAAAATACAGTTGTATATCCACAACTATCAGGTTTGTGACAAATATATCAATAACTATCGAAATACACGAAATATCAATTTCTGTCCACTCCGTCCACTCCGTCAGTTAACTTGATGACTGGACAGACGGTGGGTGCTTAGTTGGCGTGTTTCTGACCCCACTAAATGACGTGGATTAAAAGAGAAAAAAAAATTAGGCAAAATACAATTATATATCCACAACTATCGAAATACACGAAATATCCATTTACGTCCACTCCGTTAACTCTGTCAGTTAACTTGATGACTGGACAAACGGTGAATGCTTAGTTGGCATGTTTCTGACCCCGTCAGGCGTGTTTCTGGGTTGGATTTTTAGTCTCGCCGTCTGTGGTTTTTAGGGGTTTTTTTTAAAAAAAAATTCTCTTTTCATCCACGTCATTCAGTGGGATCAGAAACATGCCAACTAAGCATTCACCGTCTGTCCAGTCATCAAGTTAACTGACGGAGTTAACTGAGTGGACGTAAATGGATATTTCGTGTATTTCGATAGTTGTGGATATATTTGTCACAACCTGATAGTTGTGGATATATTTGTCACAAATATACAACTGTATTTTGGCTTTATTCAACTAGCCTATTTGACATCTACGTGTAAATTTTGGTTGCTTTTTGGCTTATGTGGCAGGTGAGATGACATCGATTCAACATTCCGTTAGTCAATTTAACGCTGTCTGACACGTCGTTATAGTTTCAGACGGAAGTGGATAGATTTGTCCCACAACCTTCTAATTTTTGGATATTTCGTGTATTTCGATAGTTGTGGATATATTTGTGAGAAACCTTATAGTTGTGGATATACAACTATATTTTGCAAAATATTAATTTCTATTAAGTATCTATAATAATATGAAAATCTTATATTAAATCTACAATCACATAAACAAAGTTATTCTACATTTTTTGGACCAAGGTGGTGCAAATTACTCACCTTGGTCTCAAGTGGCTCCGCCACTACACTTAATATACATAACGTAAATTACCTTGCAGACTTCCTTATGTAATCATTGTGAAAATACATTACATAAGCCTTAACTAATGAACGGTAATTTCACATGAGGATATTAATGCTTCATTACATAAACAGTTAAGCAACTATGAAAACCCAACGTGAACAAAGTTACAAATCAAGAGACTAAATTAAGCTCTACTCGGAATAATGATATGAAGAATAAAGTTAGATTTGTTTTTGGATATGGATAAGTATTATAGAAGGCCCACACTTGATAACATACCCGGATTTATAAATTTGTGGCCCAGTATTTGTTTTGTTAATTATGTGATGGAAATCATAATTGTAGAGGCGGAGTTACTTTTAAATCCCGCCTAAAAACACGGGCAGAGAGTACAAATGGTTACGTGGCAGAACTAAAATAGAGTGAAGCGTGTAATGTATGTTTTAGATGTAACTCATGTGTATTCGCTAATTCAAATGTCTTACATAGAGATTATTTAATGCTCTGACATACATTACATAATAGAATGTTAATATTCATTAATTTTATATAAATTTAACCTAATACTATTTTCTAAAGTACATTCAAACTACAAGAATTTTGATTGAACTATATATGATTATCTTTTACGTAGTTGAAATAAAAGTGTTTATATATATAAAAGAGTATCATACTAACTTGACACTTAACATGATCTTAATATTTAAATACGCAAAATGTTTTCATTATGTATTTAAGTAACACAAGTTTACAACTATTTTGCATAATCCAAACACATTACGTAAAATGTTACATAAACAGTTTTTTTTATTATGAATCGGTTGGAATTTCATTTCATCAAAAGCACCAAGTACATTGCTGGCAACAACTCTGCCAGCTGAGCAAAGGGAACAGCAGACACAATAACAAAACCAGTATCAGTTCACCGGAAGGACTCAAAAATACAAGCAGACTATTCCAGGATCAACAACCACCCTAATATCTCCCTTAACTCGCTGCACCAGATCATGGAAATCAACCTTCTTCCCTGCATACTTAACCAGACATCTTTCCCTCCAAATTGACGCAATTAAGGCCTGCCAAATTAGCTTCCCAGATTGTGCTGAGATTGTGGAACCTTTGATAGTAGATGTAGCCCACTGAAGCTCAGCATTCCATTGATTCCCAGGGACTCGATCTGCAAAGTTAGCAAACAGAGCTGCAAACAACTGTTTAAACATAGGACAATAAGCAAAAAGGTGAGATCTCGTTTCCAAGCTGCACGAGCAGAAGACACATCCATAATCACCAGAGCCACCCCACCCCTGAGCTTTCTCTCTAGTTATGATACAGTCAGTGACAACCAGACGAACCAGGAACTGATTCTTAGGGATACTAGGACCTTTCCAAACCAGAGATTTCCAAGTGACAGCCCCCTTTTTGGACGAAGCTCCTCCCATACCTTCCTTATGCAAAATTTAGTCATAAGTTCACCCTTCCAATAAACCCATCAGATGTTACAGAAAACCATCACCTGAGTTTATCCCTGATCTTCAAAATTTTCTGCCATAGCCAAGATCCGGCTTTGGATGTTAGAGTCCAGAAGTTGCCTCCTTTTATACTATTGTGTAAAAATAACTGTTTTTTTTTGTATAAAAAAATAATTATTTTTACACAATAGTTTAACAACCCTGTTACAAGAGATTTTTTCCGGTAATCCTGATTAAGTCATAATAACCACAATATAACTATTAAAATTAAGGAAGTTACATAAGTCTTAAGTAAAAGATGACCTTTTATGTAATGAGAATTAAAAGATCTTACATAAGCCATTAAAAAAACTCTTGTA